ATGGGAGAACGTGAACATTATATAAGTTATTATTGCATTTTTTTTTGAATTCAAATCAAACAATCAAAAAGAGTAATTTGGTTATTATTTACATACTTTTACATTATTTTTAACTATCATTTTTATTAGGGAAAATGACTTATTAAGGTAACTAACTATTTCAATTGTCCATATATAGGTAATGTTTTTTTTTGTACACATTAAGGTAACTAACTTGTTTTGTTTGTTCACATTTAGGTAATATGACCGGCTATCACCCGTTTTTGTTTATGTAGCATCCACCTGACATTACGTTGCACCTACGTGGCATGGTGCATATATGAGAAAATGACTTATTAAGGTAACTAACTATTTCAATTGTCCATATATAGGTAATGTTCTTTTTTTTATACACATTAAGGTAACTAACTTGTTTTGTTTGTTCACATTTAGGTAATATGACCGACTATCACATGTTTTTGCTTATGTGACATCCACCTGACATATGATTTGAATACGTTACACCTACATGGCATCCACCTGACATATGACTTGTTTTGTTTCTTCTTCCTCATCTTATTCTTCAAAACAACAAGATGAATTTCAAGCTGATCATCCATGTGATTGCGGCTTACCATCTCGTGTGAAGATTTCAAGAACTCCTAACAACCATGGAAGAAAATTTAGAGTTTGTCAAAACTCGATGGTAAATCAATATTGTTGAATATGTTGCAGGAGTTCTTGAAATCTTCACACGAGATGGTAAACCGCAATCGATGATCAGCTTGAAATTCATCTTGTCATTTTGAAGAATAAGATGAGGAAGAAGAAGCCATCATCGATCGATCTAGGGTTTAGAATTAGGGGTGGAATCGTATGACACAGTTATAGTGTAATCGAATGAAGACAATATATGCACCATGCCACGTAGGTGCAACGTATTCAAGTCATATGCCAGGTGGATGCCACATAAGCAAAAACATGTGATAGCCAGTCATATTACCTAAATGTGAACAAACAAAACAAGTTAGTTACTTTAATGTGTACAAAAAAAAAAAGAACATTACCTATATATGGACAACTGAAATAGTTAGTTACCTTAATAAGTCATTTTCCCATATATGCATCATGCCACGTAGGTGCAACGTATTCAAATCATATACCAGGTGGATGCCACATAAGCAAACACAGGTGATAGCCGGTCATATTACCTAAATGTGAACAAACAAAACAAGTTAGTTACCTTAATGTGTACAAAAAAAAGAACATTATCTATTTATGGACAATTGAAATAGTTAGTTACCTTAATAAGTCATTTTCCCTTTTTATTAAACCAAAATTTTATTTGTTTCTCCAAGCTTTATCAATAAAGTTCATGGATGTCGATGATTAAACGCATTTTCTTATTATAAGCACTTTAAATAAAAAACAATTATTACTTACTAAAAATGTTAATCAATAACTTAATACTATTTAATATTATTGAAATATATGAATTATAAATTTATAAATTATAATTTCATCACTCGTTTCATATTTTTAAACAATTTAATTATTTATTATGATATATATTTGATCTCATATACTTAATAATAGTTTTATTTTATCCATTTTAATCTCTAATCATATTTTATTATTAAACTTTTTTTGTCATTTTTATTAAAACGAAATATTTTTATAGTTATGCTTTTATTTTTATAACTAGATAATTTATAAAAATAATATTAATATAAAATATTTAAAGGACCAGAGTTTCCAAAATATTTTAAATATATAAAAATAATTATTTAATTATTAAAATTTAAATATTCGAGAAGATTTAATATATAATTTTTCTTTAAATCCCAAAAAATGACATCACAAAATAAATAAATTATACCAAAATTAACTACTGTGTTTGTTTTATCTCTTAATTTAAACCTAATTTGTTCAAAAATTGAGAATCGTAACCAGATTTATCAAATCTCAAACCCTTTCATCTTGTTAAACACAGGGAACAGATTCGAGCTTATCTTTGATAATTGGTAGACTAGTATTTAGTGTGGTGACTGGTGGTGTTGTTGGGGGAAGGAATAAATCATAAAGGAGAAAAAAGTCGACTGCTCATAAGTCAGCCTTTCGTCTTCTTCGCCATAATAAACTCATTTGCAGACTTCTACACCCTGCAAATCTTTCTCACACCCACCCAATTCTAGACGCAGATCGCGATCGAAATCTGTAAAACCATGTCTGGTGGTATTGCTCGTGGTCGTCTCACCGAGGAACGAAAAGCATGGCGAAAGAATCACCCCCATGTTCGTCTCTTAAGTCCTACCCCCCTTTCTCTTTTCATCCTTCTGTTTATTTGTGATTTTGTTTCATAACTTGTGTCTATGGTTAGGTATATATGCTGATTTTTTTGGGGATTTTGGATTTGGGTTTGATTTTATTGATTAGGGTTTTGTGGCGAAGCCCGAGACTCTCCCTGATGGTTCAGTGAATTTGATGATTTGGCAGTGTACCATCCCCGGTAAGACAGGGGTAAGTTCTCGTTACATCTTTATTCTTTAATTTGAATTTCATCGATGAACAAAATTTTATCAATTACGCGTCTGTAAAACTATCTCTTATGATCGAAGAATCTCTATCTTCTTTCAGTGGAACGAGTTTAAGTATTCTGTGTAAAAAATTTACGAAAATTGGTATATTAGTTGAAAGACGATGAAATCACGAGAACACCATTGAATTTAGGGTGTTCATATGAGTTTCCAGGCTACGTTTTTAGGCTCGTGATATGATAACACCATTGAAGTTGTTACGAAATCTTGAGAAAGAAATAATTTATTAACGATTCATGAAGAAATGTTTGAACAAAACATGAATTCAGGGTTAGAAAGATACAAATTGTTCTTGGATCAAAGAACAATTATGCTTACTTAGTATATAGATTATAGGCATAAGTTTGTATTATAGTTTCATATAAATTTTATTATTTGAATTTATTTTAAAATTATTTTGAGTATAAGTTATACTATGAATGCAGACTGATTGGGAAGGTGGATATTACCCTCTTACCCTTCACTTCACTGAAGATTATCCAAGTAAACCACCAAAGTGTAAATTTCCTCAAGGCTTCTTTCATCCCAATGTTTACCCCTCTGGAACTGTTTGTTTGTCCATCCTTAATGAAGACAGTGTAAGTTCTTTGAATCCAGACAAAATTACCAAAATACCCTTCCCTTTTTAAATTTTTCATTGTTTTTTTTTTTTTTTTTTCTAGGGTTGGAGGCCAGCAATAACAGTTAAACAAATCTTAGTGGGAATTCAGGACCTGTTGGATTCCCCTAACCCTGCTGACCCTGCACAGACAGATGGATATCACCTCTTTATCCAGGTAATCAAGGTTGTTTTAAATAATTTGAAGGGTATTTTGGTCATTTCATAAATTTGTGATTTTGATGATTTGTAGGATACGGTGGAGTATAAGAGAAGAGTCCGCCAGCAAGCTAAGCAATATCCCCCTCTTGTTTAGGTGGATGCAAATGGTTTGGGTTAATTTGATGTAGACCATGTTCATGTTGATGTTGATGTTGATGATGATGATGTTGGATTAAAAACTTATATTTTCATATCTGAAAAAAAGATTATTCGGGTGGTGAAAAAAAGATTAAAACTTATATTTGTGTGAATGGGTTTTTGCTATTGTTAACAATGTGAAATGATGTGGATCTACTTTTGGGGTGATTGTTTATGTCTAATAATGGAAATGCAATTTCTCTATTGCTATATGTTTGTTTTTATTGCTCGTTGATGATAAATGATCGTTGATTGGATTTTAGTGACATGAATATGTATGAACCTACTTAGTTATTTATGGATTTACTTGTATATAGGCCCGATCTTGTAGTTGTGAGGGTTTTCGGTTATAAGTATTAATAGCTAGGGATTCCAATATAATCACCTGAAACAATCGAGTAATAGAATAGTTCTTTTGTTTCTGTCCATAGATTAATGTAAAAATCGATTGAACCTTCATTCTTTGTAATGTTTTATTTTGATTCTTTATTGCTTGTGTAACAAGTGGTATCAGAGTGAAGGTTATTAAAAATTTAGTGGATCGAATGATTGATGTTGTGGAAGAAGATGATGATGATGACTCTTCTGGTTCAATAGGGTTGTGAGATGACACTAGAAGAAGAAACAAACTTGCATAAGGAGATGATGTGATTGATGTCGATTGCAAAGTCGAATATTGTAGCAAAAGGGGCAGTGCACAATTCTTTTATGTTTGGCTGATGAAGTGCTACATGAAGTAAAGCTAATAGTTGAATTTTCATAAACATACCTATAGTAAAGAGACGACATCCTTATAATTTTCACTAAGTAATTTTGTAACCCTTCTATATGCATTCACAAGAACGACATGTTGTATGTCTTCAAAGAAGCATAAGATAATTTATATCCGCATGAAATGTTACGAAATGTGTCTTGTTGATCTTGATCAACTGTTGTTTTGATTTACTTGTATATCTACTTTCATATGTAACTGTTTCATGGGTGTCTGTAAAAAAACAAAAATTGATATAAGTTAGTAATTTTAGGTCAAAATACATATAAAATACTTATATAAAATGAATTTAAGTGTTGGTTTTTCAAATATTATTTTTCAAGTTCTTTTCTTAAACCATAAAGGTATAAAAGTAAATAATGTAAATAGACAATGTATGTTTAATGATTATGAGGGAATTTATGGTTGTATTTTGAAGAAGGATGTATTGCAAAATACAAAAGGTAAATACTTTTTTAGTTAATCCAGTCATCAACACACGAATATAATTACTTTGATTTGATCTTAGGTTAAATAATCACTAAGAAGAATTAATAAGAATAATGATCACAATAAACATACACTTGCTTAACACTCTACAAGAATTGAGGCATGGTAATGTAAATGTACTTGAGGGACTGTAATGTAAATATAAATGAGGGACTATAAATGAACTTTTCAAATTCAAAGGACGAAAATTTGTATTATTTGAAAAATAGAAATAACCGCAACATTTCATCGGCGGAAACCCAGTATCGTTCTACAACACAGATTGGGGAAAAAATTAGGGCTTGGAGAACGGAAAATTGACCCTTAAAATGGACGACATGGCAGCTTACTACCCACCACCGGCGGGTGTTCACACCACCCAGTTCTCGTACTACCAAAATCCACCTCCTCCTCCCGGAGCGACACAACCTCCACCCGCCGCCGTATCTCAGTTACACCATCAGTACCACCAGCCCCCTTTCACTTCTTACGCACCACCGTTATATACGCCGTCGTTTCAAGACGAGGTTCGAACGCTATTCATTGCTGGACTTCCCGAGGACGTCAAGCCTCGTGAAATTTACAATCTTTTTCGTGAATTCCCGGGATATGAATCTTGTCACCTTCGTAGCCCCAGTGCAACACAAACTCAGGTATCAATTGTAAATTGAAAATCGAAACTGCATTGTTGAAACTTTGGTTGTTTTTATTCCTTATTTCAAAAGCATATTTGATGATGAAAGCTAGGGATCATTGAAAGTTCGGGTCAAATTTCTCCGCAATTAGAAAGAAGCTATCTATAGATCATTTGCGGAGTGACCTTATACATGTTGGAATCAAATGTTCTTCCAAATTTAAAATTGATGTGGATTGGTAGCTTGTTTAAGAAAACGAATTGATAACTACACTGAACTTCTTAGAAAGATCACACACATGAAATGGCTATTGAATATATAACTCAAGTTGTCAACTTCATTTATGTTTTTTCTTTCTTTATATATAAGGTAGCTATTAATCCCCCTCTTGTATTCACTCGAATTTGCTTCATATCTTTTCTTATTTGTCTTGTTTTATGTCAAACAGCCATTTGGGTTTGCTGTTTTCATGGATCAGCCTTCTGCACTTGCAGCATTACACACTTTAAATGTAAGAAAGCTATTCCAATACATACCCATCTGATTCCCTTTTGAAAAAAAACAATCTTTTACACAAATCATCAAGAAAAAGTATCGGATTTGTAGGGAATGGTGTTTGATCTTGAAAAGGGTTCAACTTTACACATTGATCTTGCAAAGTCAAACTCAAGGTCAAAGCGCTCAAGAGGTATATATAATTATATATCATTACTTCTCTTCTCCGTTTCAATCTACTCTTCCTTTCTTGACCTTTTTAGCTAACTTATCTTTGTAAAACTTATCAACTATACATTTAGATGATGATAGACATGGATCCGACAAAAGGGCAAAAGGGTCTTCTTCATTTTCAAGGGGCTTTTCAGATCCTGGTGAGAAACTCTTGTTCAAAAAACAAAAGCACCAAAGAGACCTGTAAATTACAAATTACAAAACAAGTAGTTTTAAGTTATGAAAACACGAGTTATCGAGGGGTGAAATTGAAAATTGAAAATTGAAACACATTATTCTAGAAGCTCACAATTGCACACTGTTTTGCACACGTGTACACTAGCAGGTGTTGGCAGCATTCACATGCCTGGATTGAGTAATTCTGCTTACAACACGATTGGTTATCCATCTGCACAAAGGTCATACATAAGCACACTTTTAATTACCTTTTTTGAAACCAAAAAGAAACAAAAAACAAAAAGATTTTTATTGTAACTTTCACTATTGCACTTGTTGTTACATGATTTCTTATTACTGAAAGGTTAAAGGGCTTCAAAACATCACATATGATGACATTCATTATTAGACAAATCACCATTTTTTTCTTTTTAATTTCTTATTTGTGCTTTTTAAATTTTCAGCCATGGAAGCTTTGAAGCTAGAACTGAAAACACTTCAAGATTGGTATGTTTCATTTGTATTTTGTGATTTATGTTTATAAATTATAATTAACAAAAGAGTTAATGTAGTTTTTTTTTATATTTATAAATTAGAGAAACTCATCAGCTCCTCCATGTCCAACAATATTTGTGGCTAATCTTGGACAAGGTTGCACAGAACAAGAGTTAAATCAAGTATTTTCAAGGTTAGGAATTTTTATTTTTATTTTTTAATTTGTTTTTTTTAGATTTAAGTTTAGAATTCTTAAGTTGTTATCGACATTGTGAATTTACAGATGCCGAGGTTTTTTGAAATTAAAGATGCAAAGTACATATGGGACGCCTGTGGCATTTGTTGACTTTGATGTATGTTTTTAACTTTTTATATTTATTTGTTTGCAATATATTTTTAAAAGTTTTAGACATTGAAATAAATCAATAATATTAAATTTATGACATTTGTTGAAGGATACTGCTTGTTCAAGTGAAGCACTAAATCATTTACAAGGCACTGTTTTATACTCATCGGTATCTGGTGAAGGAATGCGGTTAGAGTATCCTTTTAATATATATTTTTATTCCTTATTTACCCTTTTTTTTTATGTTTATTAAATCTACATTAGGACACGACATGACAACCTTATACTGTATTTTACATTACCTGACATGACATGACATGAGATGATATTATATGATATCTTTATACTGTGTTTGATATGCAGTAGACTATGACAGCTACTGAGACTAATGATGACAGGACAAAAGATTTGCAAATTTTTTCCCACCCAAAAGGGTTGAATAATTTGGGAGTTTGTTAGGTGGGCATGGTACATCGTTTGTGCAAAAGACGTAAATGCCCTTCTCTTACTGAAAATGAATGAGGTTTTGTTTAACTAGAAATGAAGGTATGCGAAATCAAGGATGGGAATGCGAAGTAAGAAGTCGAGATAAAGTGTAAAGTGTATTTATATTGTGACATTAAGCTTATTATGGGATCAAGTTGGATTATATTTTGTATTACGGGGATGATTTCGTACTTAAATGATCTCCATTTTATTTTTTCATATATATTTTTAAATTTTATATAGTGAATGTAGTCTAGTCTTTGTATTGTTATCATTTTATTCATTTTTAATTTTGCATTTGGTATTAACTAGTAATTGAGCCTGTGTTTTGATGTGGGTTCTTACATGTTTTTGTCGCGTATTAGGAGACTAGAGTGGAAAAATCACACACACACACACTATAGAGATGGGGGATAAATTCGAAAATTTAGAAAATAAAAGGGTGAAAGTAACATTTTCTAAAGTTGAAGGTAGATGGAATCAAAGTTATATTTTAAAAAGTAAATGGATGAAAAATATTATTTTACAAAATCGAAGGATTGCAAGTAACCGAGTCGATAAAGTTGAAAGATTAAAGTTGAACTTTATGTATTAACATATTTGTATATTGTGTATTAACAATTGTAGTATTGGCTATAGTGATTTTCTCAGTTGAAAAGACCAAAGTAATATTTTTTTAAAAAGAGGGGTGGAAATTGTATTTTACAAAATAGATGAGGGAAATATATATATATATATATATATATATATATATATATATATATATATATATATATATATATATATATATATATATATATATAAACAAAAAGTTTAGAAAATGAAGAAATGAAAGTAATATTTTATAAAATTGAAAGTAGAGGGGTGAAATTGGTATTTTATAAAGTAAAAGGATAGTAAAATATTATTTAACAAATTAGAAGGGTAGCAACTGAATGATAAATAAAAATAACGGTTACAAATGAAAAATTATATAAAATTAAAAAAGTAAACTTAAAACTTTATTCATTAAAAAGTTTTAGTAACTAATACATCAATTTAAATATAAAATATTAATTTATAGATATAAATTATAAATATATATAAATTAAATAGCTTTTTTGATTTAACCAAAATGATAAAAATGTAACCAACATCAAACCTAATAAGGTATCCTTATTCGGTTAATTAAATAACCGAATAACCCGAACCAAATAAACCAAAATCATTTAGCTCGGTTCAATTATTTGATTCCGGTTTTTTATCACCGTAAGATTGCCCACATTTTTTTTGAAGAAGGCAAATATGTATTAATAAAAGACCGAAACATAAGCAAGGAGCTTAGTTTGGTGGAACAAGTAGTAAAACAGAGAAATAAAAGTTCAAAATGGATTGCAACTCCATTCCATCCAACTTCTACTATTCTTTCCCCTGTATTTGCTCCATTCAAAAGTTTGTGAGATGATAATATCCGCCGTTTTTGTAGGGGAGACCACCTTGTTTTTGAAGAATTTGTCTTTTCTTGCAAGCTAAATATTCCATAGTGTGGCATAAATGATCAACGTAAGCGTTTGTTTTTTTCTTGGACAGTTACCCCATGATGCAACATAATCTAAAAGGTCCCTTACCGTGTTAACTTGCAAGTTTTGTAATCCACACCATCTACTGATCCAATGTAATACTATTTTGGAGAAGTCACATTCCACCGTCAAGTAATTTACTGATTTGTTATGATTCCCACAAAGTAAACAGGTTGAGGATTGGACCAATATACCCCTGTGAGAGAGTGCCTCAGAAACTCGAATAACATAGCCCTCCAAACAAAACATTTGACCTTAAGGGGGATTAGTTTATCCCAGCATATCCGATAGCTACAAGTGGAATGGTTTAGCATGGAATCAATGAACCTTCTCATAATGTTAACAATATACATGCCATCATTGTTGTTGAGATTGAACCAGAATCCATATTTTTTCGAAGATCTAAATTCCCAAGAGTTAATGAGGAGGTGAAACTGATGTAATTCGGTTGCAGTTTCATGAGTTATTTTTCCATTGCCACCTGAAGCCATTATTACTTATTCTTTCCGTGAGCATACATCTTTTCACTGTTTCCATTTCGTACAGAAGAGGAAAAAGAATTTTTAATGTTGTGTTTTGTCACAACCCCAAACCTGAACGACGAAAATGTTCCGGAGCGGAGGACGTCATGTACAGTATCACAACAAAGCATAATAGTAAACAAACAACATCATCCATTGCGTTAATAATATAATTTAATACAAATGTGTTCTGTGTAGTTATAAGACACGAAAAATATGAATCAAAATAAGAGATGAGTCTTGAACATGCTCCATCTTCTCAAAACCTGGCATTGGTACCTGTCTACTAATGACCTGAGAATACAAGTTATTTTGAAAAAGTTTATTAGCTTTAAAGCTGGTGAATTCATAAGCATTTTAGTATCATTGTTTGTATGAAAATGTTAGTAAGTGTTTGATGTATAAGTTTGTAGTAAATATTTGTATCTCCTAGAAAATCCTATATTTTCTACTAATAGTAGCCTTCTACCAAGACATAAAATGTTCTATATGTTTGTTTCATGTAAAAGTGTGTATTTTTCCCAAGTGTGACTATCATTAACAAAATATAGTTTTTATATTATCGATTATGTGAGAAGATCACAGTGTGAATGCAATGGGAAAATAATAAGTACTGTAGTGTTGTATTATAGTTATTACTGTTGTACTAACTACCTTAAACCAATTGTTAATTAATGTATAATGTGATATAATTGTAACGATACTTGATCGAATTAGTAAAACACGACGCTCGAAGAGGTCGTAATGGTATGACATTCGTCACTCGTAGACCTACAGGTCCCACTGTAGCTAGCATCAAGGTGTAGGACGGTCAGTCCCGTATAGATCTATACACAAATTCACCCTCTCCTTCCAGGAGACTCTGGTTACAAAACAAGCCATAACATTGATGCCATGCCCCGAAGTGGTGACTCACATTTATGTTATAGTATTATTGTATATGTATTGTATGTACTAGTGTAATGTATGTTCTCTCTGTCTAGTATGTAGTATGTTCTCTTTGTTTCTCATCATAGTATGTTCTCTTGTATAGTGTATAGTATGTATTATTTCTCGTTATAGTATATTTGTTATGTTTCTCATAATAGTATATTCTCTTAGTTTCTCATCATAGTAAGTTTGTATTGACTCATGAATGAACTGACTCTTGTATGTTTCGTTGTACTAGAAATAGTGAGTAGTGACTTCCTAAACTATACCTATTATAGTTTACTAGTAGAGTTCTTTGTATAAATGAACATGTTTGTACACCTTTGCTACCCAAAGGGATTGAACTGAGATAAAATCTTTTATGTCTATACATATATACATAATATATAACTAAGGATCAAACGACACTCGGACAAACAACATGATACTCTAAGTCCACAACCAAACAAGGAACATGAAATAAAGTGAGTTATCAGTCCTAAGTCCTTCCAACCTTACTTATATAACTATATATGCATTAGACATGGTTTTAATAATATATAAGTTTGAAAGAGTTAAAAGAAAAGGTTTGGCAGATAAGAATAAGTTTGATAATGAGTTTAGTATGTAAAAGAGTTTGGTAAACATTTTGAAGTAGATTGCTTGATAAAACAGTTAAAAGTATAGTAAATCCATTTGTTCGATAGTTATTAATCACATGTGATTGATATAATAACTATAATGTTTCAACTTGTATTCCCCCCATAAAAGCATTTAAAATAATTTAAAAGGTAGATTAAGGGGTATGAACTCACCTGTAGTGAGTGGTGCGAATGTAAGATTGGTAAAGGATGCTAAGTGTCAAGTGAAGGCTTGAGCACGCCCGAATCCTATTTAACATATAATGACACATATATGAATACAATTAGTGTTTATAACAACTAATCATGCATTGGAACAACCTTAGGGACTAAGAAACACTTGTAATGAAGTTTTACACCACATAGGGTTGCATATAAGGGGTGTAGGGCCTCACATAGGAGTTTACAACCCAAATGGTAAGACCCCCATGAGTTTACGGCCAAAGGGGTTTACACAACTATGAGTTTACGACCGTAAACTCATGATATTATGTGTTAAAGGTGTTTTAAAGTCCATTCAAGCATCTAGGAAGTGTTCTAGTTTCAATGCTTTAGCTTAAGGGAGTTTAGGGCCAACAAATTCCCCTTTAATTAGGGTTTACGGCCAAGGGAGATCCTCATGGTCGTAAACACCTATTGATCTTGAGTAATGCTTGATTTTAATGAGCAAATCAAGTGTTCCTAGTATATAACAAGCTAAGGAGAGTGTAATTACGTATTAGAAGCTTGTAAGGGTGTTTAAGGTCCAAAAACACTAGTGTGTGTTCCTGGTGAAATGAAGAACACTTGAAGATCTAACCGAAAAAAGAGATTTCATGGATGAAATCATGTACCTTCACTAGATATAGAAGGATATCAACTTAAGAATGGAAAGATTACTTACTATATTGAAGATCAAGATGAAGACCCTATGATACTTGAGAGAGAACTTGGATTCTGGGCTTGAAATGGTAAAAGTGATAATAAATGACTAAGTGTCAAATATATAGTCTAGAGTTTGCGGCCGTAAACTCTAGTTTACAGCCGTAAACTCCAATTCTTGGAGTTTTCTAGCTTGTGTACTGCACACTGAACTCTAGAATAAACTTCTTAACATCACCTCTTGAAGGTGCTAGGCTTAGAACACTCAAACAGACTCTAAATAGTGCTAAATGATAGTAGAAACAAGTCTGAATTTGATTGAATTGATTGACTGTACAAGATAGAAATTTCGGGTTGTCACATGTTTCCACACCAAACATCCTTCTAGAACATACTTTTGCAGTTCGTTCTAGGTATAAGAGAGAAAAGGTTGTTTGTGTCAATATTGCTTTTTTGTTGACTATTGACAGCTTTGTACATGTTGCTACATAACCCTACTGTGTCTTTGCTCACGAGGTAGTTGGAGGGCTTTCTGCTAAGTTGTGTATGCTTGAGATAACACCAAACCAAAGGAATCCATGCTCATTTTTTAGTCGCCACCACCATTTGATGAGTAAAGCTAAATTTTTAGCCTTCAATGTACCCACTCCAAGACCTCCATCCTTTTTTGCTGCAACAACTTTTTGCCAACACACCCGATGTAATTTTCTTTTTTCACCAATGCCACCCCATAGGAATCTGCGCATGAGTTGTTCAAGATAATCTAAAATACCTTGTGGTGCTTTAAATAAAGATAGATAATACGTAGGAAGGCTTCCAAGTACGGATTT